TGATATTTTTTTAAATTTCTCTGTTTAATATTTCTTGCACTCTGTTTACTGCTGCAGTTTCCGAGGTGCAACTTAACCGTGCCAAAGAGTCAACAAAATCTGCAGTTTTGATGAATCTGGAGTCCAGGGTACTCTCTCTATCACCCATTCTGTCTATCTTTTGAATGACCCCATTTTTTGGGGTTGTTTTCACTTCTGCGCTGACGTATGAACTGAAAGCAGAACCTTCCATTTAAAAAAAAAAGTAAAGTCGGAGAAACAAAAGCAAGCTGACACTTCCTTATCTTGCAGATGATTGTATCCGAGGATATTGGGAGGCAGATTTTGACATACGGAGAGAGGTACCTTGTGTGATTAAACTTGGCTTCCAGTACCTTGGCGTTTTTTCTTGCATATTTACATCTTCCTCTGATTTCCTTTTACTCCATGGGCCTTCTCCTCTGCAGTATTAAGTTTTTGTGTCGTGTTTTTTCAATATTGCAGGAAACCTGTTGAGCACTTCCTAAAGGCTGTAGACTCGATCACCTTGAACGATATTACTAACATAGCTCAGAAAGTTATGTCTTCTCCTTTAACAATGGCATCCTATGGAGATGGTAATCTTCTAACTCCTAACTCTAATTAACGAATCTTGATGTAATTATGTCTTAAAAGACTGACATCTTGAATCTTCATGTTTGGCATTGCAGTTATTAATGTCCCGACCTACGAGTCTGTTAACAGAAGGTTCCACAGTCAATGAGATAGGTACGTGTGCGTTTTCAAGCTCGCCATTTCTGATAATGTCTGTTCTTGTTGTTCTTCGCCTTGGAAGCAGTTTCGACTTTGTCCCGCAATTTGCAATAAATTTTTTGAATGAAAGTCTCATCAGATGATGTAAAATTATGAGTTTGTTTCCAATTCATTGAGTGGCTCCCTGTGAATTGTGGAGTTTTTCACCTTTTCACTTTGAATATTAACCCGGGTAGTTCTTGCCCTTTTCATAGCTTTGGCATCTTTTCCTTTTCCCCATCTTTATATTCGCAGTTTTGGGAACAAATAATTTCGTGGGTAACTTATATAATATATATATATATATATATATATATATATATATGAACTGGTTTAGCCAATAATGCATAGTTGTATGCTCAGAATTTTGCCTTAATTATATTTCGATTAAATAATTTATATTTTTTATTACCAAAAACATTTGGCCTCTATATTTTGATTTTCTTTTCATTTAGGATAGTGCAATTTTTTTTTTAATTTTGCTGGTTTTTGTTTTTATTATAAAAAATACTAAAATTTAATGCAGGTTCTATATTTGTAAAATGACGAATCGGTTAGGTATTACTTGTGTTTATAAATTATAAAGAAAAAAACAAATTGCTATTTAATAAGAATCGACACTGATAAAAATTTTCATAATAAATCATTAAAAATGTTATATTAATAACATTTTCATGGTAAATCATTAAAGAATTTTAAACTAGTACAAACTAAAAGTTTATAATTAAATTATTACTAATTTAACAATATAGATACTAACTTATTACAAGAATTAAATCATTGCTTTAATAATTAACTTAGTTTTTAATGGATTGTATGCCTTTTTATTATTATTATTATTAGTGGAATACTAAAAAAAATGGTCTTTCAATTTTTTTTTTAAATCAAATTGGAAAAACGGAGACCTTTCAATTTTGATTTGGACTGGACTAAAATAAATGTTAAAAAGCAACTTTATTCATTAAAAGAAGGTGGGGCCCGGGGAAGGCCAGCCAAGAGCATCGGACGGTCATGATTGCATCTAGAAAAGAAGAATGGGAAGAATGATTGTGGATACAGCGAATCAGAGCCCCATCTGCCCGAACGAGTCTTGTGGATTAAAAAGAATTCCTCGCAGAACGGGGATCGTTCGATCAAATCCAAATCAATGGCTCACAACACATCAGGAAGGACCCACCAAAACTCAATCATACCGGTCCGGTCCTATCGCGGGTCCCTCAAAGAAGGTCCATTTCTCTTTTCCAAGTTCGAACAACACTATATATACCCTCCATCTTCTTGTCCGAACCACGCAGAAAGGAGAGCGAAGAAACCAGAATCAAAGGAGAAAGGAAATTTGATTGATTCAGTACTCGGTGAAGATCGAAAATGTCGTGGCAATCTTACATTGATGATCAGTTGATGTATGAGGTCGATGGCCAACATCTCAAAGCCGCTGCTATAGTTGGTAACGACGGTTCTGTTTGGGCTAAGAGCTCCGAATTCCCCCAGGTTTTTCTCTATTATCTGATCAAATTCTCTTGTAGAATGGAGTATTTTTACTTTTATTCCTTTCTTTTTGAATCAATTCCATGCTATTCTTGTTTTTTCCCCCATCTTTTAGTTGTTGTAGACGTTATGATCTACTAGGCTCCACGATTTTTTGTGTTGGATATAATGAGCGACGCATTTGCCGAAAATCGACTATCTGCATCGCTTGTTATTATGGTCTTGTTGAGATCTGAGAGTTCTGACGTTCCATTTTTTTTTAAAGATTTTTCGATTGCTTTATTCTCGTATATTGACATGCAATGAGCGTGGATCGGGAAATGGATTAATTGCAAAGAAAATGTCTGTAAACAGTAACTTGAGGGAACCTGTTTCCTATACATTTAGTTACGTTTGGATTGCAAACTTTGTATCCGCAATGGTTAGATATTCTAGTTGTTTTAAGCACATTTTTCAGTGCAATTCTGTTGGCTGATAGTAGTTTCTGGAACGAATTAACATTTAGCTTCTTTTGTTATTTAGTACAAGCCAGAAGAGATTTCTGCCATTATGAAGGATTTTGATGAGCCTGGATCTCTTGCCCCGACTGGGTTGCACCTTGCTGGATCGAAGTACATGGTTATCCAGGGGGAATCTGGAGCTGTTATCCGTGGAAAGAAGGTATACGTTTTGGTACCTGATATCCTGCCATGATTCTCTTTGATCTTATGATAATCAATCATCAATATTGTTGATTTTATTTTATGGTTACTCTAACACACATCATGTAGTATTGAATTCACAGTCCGATCATTAGGCTTTCTTTTTTTCCTTCTTGCCAGAGGATGTTGAGTAAATGTGTCCTGAACTTGTTGGGAAGATCATTTTGTTGCCTTTGCTTACCATCAAGGGATGCAATCATCTTGGACTTGTTTATATTTAAAAAACATGCATGTTTGCACAGTATTGCCATTTTTTTTGGTCAAGTTTCATTGTTGTTTTTCTAAGATTCTAGCCTTTTCTTATTGAACTGTCAAACCATTTTCCAATCCAAATCAGTTCCGAGGAAATTTCCACCACTTATTTCTATAAGTTGCAGTACATTTTGGGATGTGTTGCGTTTGTTTTTGTGTTAATCCATCCTACTGCATCCACTTGACAGGGCACTTCTGGAATCACCGTAAAGAAAACAAACCAAGCACTGATATTTGGTTTATATGACGAACCCATGACTCCAGGACAGTGCAACATGATTGTTGAGAAGTTGGGAGATTACCTGATTGATCAAGGCATGTAATTGAGATCTCAATTTCAGATGCCTTCTATTCTATACATAATTGTGATTTTGAGCTGGTGTCCTGCTTTTATGGCTGTGTAATGAGTTGTTATTAAGAGAAAACAACAGTGTGAAGAATCAGGATGAAAAGCAGAGAGTGTGGTGATTTTGGTCGCTGATTTCTACCCATTCTATGTAATTTTTGGCTTTTTTTTTTTCTTTTTCTTTTTTTAAATACACTGCTTCAAATATGAGTTTTTGAAAGCATTACACGTATGAGATTGTACTGATTATTGTTATTTTGGTTTTTAATATACGTACTAAGAGTTGTGATCGAGTAATGAGTATTTATTTCATAAAGGAGGTGTCCCACTTAAAAACTTTTCACTACTCTTTATATTAGATACATAAATTACCAAACATCTGGTTTCCTCCCATGCATCATGTTGAGTGGGTGAGACAATCCTAGATGGTGAATAGGGTCTTTACAAAATAATATATATATTTTTTAGTTTGCTCCGATTATCAGGCCTTTTAGAAATAATTAAAAAATATTTTATTTCCTTGAATATTCCATCTATGCTAGTATCTGGAACATATAATATAGATCCATACTTATCCATCCGACCTTTCGTAGCTGGACTTCGAAAAAAGAGTTAAGTGAGAAATAGTTCTATTCAAAATAATTATAACCTGAAATAAAATTACGCCAATAATTTTAAATTAAATAATATAATAATCTAATTTTATAATGGTCAAACTCAACTTATACCTCTCTTCAAGTATGATCTTGAAAATTTAATTTAAAAAAAAATAGAATCTTTATGTTGAAGGGTGAAGAAAACTCACTTCTCTATATGGGTTAGGATCAAACCATTACAGATATTGGAAGCTTTATTTAACACACCCAAAACTTTTTAAAAAGTAATAGACCAGGATTACTTTTAAAAATTAGAAAATACAATAAAATCAAATTTTAATCTAAGCGGTTAAAATGAATTTAAATTGAGGTGGAGAATAAATAACAATGACAATAAGACAACCAAGATAGGTTTTCGATATAAACTAAGGTAGGTTTTCATTTGACTTATAATTTTTTTGGTTTAATTATGATTTGAGTGATTTAAGAATCAATTATTGATAATTAAAAAAAATTATTATCATTCTGGAGATAAAAGATAAAAAAGACAATATATTATTTTGTAAAACAAACATGTGACAGAAACATAAACATTGAAGTTTTTTTATTAGAAAAAAGTTGCAAATAGTTGAAATGAGCTTACCAGTAGTAAGTAGTAAATATGAAAATAAAGGAGAAATTAACAACTATTTTCCTTCAAAGAAAAAAGCACATATTTATGTAAAAACGCACCGTTTTGATGGGATGGCATATTCGTAATTTGAATAAGGATCAATCCACGAAGCCCTAGCCGCGGTTCGTCCCCTTTATAAGCACTGCCCCCCTAAGGGTTTCAAGTGGCTTCATCGATTAGATTTCAGTTCGCTCTTCCGCCGCCTGCTTCGTTTTTATCTCTTTTTATTTTCCGATCTGATTTCTGATATCAATGGCTCTGAGTTTGAGTATTAGAGGTTGAAAAAGCAGGGATTGTGTGTATCGGCGTAGTGCTAATTTCAGTGCACTCTGTTCCGAAAGAGTTCCCTGCAACATCCAATCTTCAAGGGAAGGTGGGCAGTTGTGATTCATCCACCGTTGATTTTTCAACAATCATCTTCTCTACATCACATTTTTGTTCCTCGTTTAAATCTCTGATTCCTCGAGTCGATTCAAATTATTTTTTCTGATTTTATTTTATTTATTTATTTATTTATTTTGTCAACGATCGATTTATGGATTTGGTGATTACCTGTTCTCGTTTTAATCTCCTTTGTCGTGAAGTTGGATTCATTTCTTTTTGGGATTTTGTTTTGATTCTTTGAACATTTTTAGGGTTCGTAATCTTCAATATGGTCATATATGGACCGAACATGAGTTTTCTATAATATGGCTTGATTAATAATCATAACAAGTCCTGTATGAATGTTCTTTAATTTTCTCTGTATGTCAGAATCTCATTTCTGGAAAATAATGATTTGCGTCTTCTCTTCTTATCTTTTGAGGCAATTGTAGAGTACATTGCTTGTAATGAAAATTTTAATTTCTGCAAGTTTTTAATTATTCTGTTGGTCTAGTGTTTGCATGCATCTGTATCAAAAATGTTTCTCATGCAGAGATGTTGATCGATTCTTTAGATATTTAGGAAATACAAGATTTAGATCTCTGGTTTCCAATTCTTGTTATCTAATTTAAATTCTAATTTGTTTATTTTCCTAGTCTTGTGTGTTACACTATAACGTTTCGTATTTTGTCTATCAAAGTATATGATTGATTTTATTACTTGAATGTAATGAAAAAGAGAAGAGGTATGTACAAAACATTGATCCCCCCTATAATGGGTCCTCTGAACATAGTTCTCTCCCACCTGTGTAATTAAGTGGTAGAGCAATTGACATTAGTTGGAGATGTTGCAACAATATGGTTGTGCGTTGACTTTGTGATGGATCCATCAATTAACCATCACCATTGGATGCAATAAGAACTCTGCTACGCTATTTTGTCCCCCATCTTTCCCTTTTTTCTGAATGTGGCTTTGTGAACGGCCCGAGTCATATGTTGTCTTTTTAACACATTGTGCATAAATGGATGGTGAGTGGAATACCTCAAATTTAATGTGAGGAGATAATGCTTTCTTCCATTGATATGATCTCACGACCCACTTTTTTCCATGGTTAACACTCATCCTAATGTCATTTGTTCCTCTTTTCAATTGAGGTAGGATCTCATGAGTTTTTAGCTTAGGTTTAGGCTCCTTTCATTTGATTGTGCCATAAAGAAAATATCTGGTTGGTTGAGTGACGTACTTACTTACGTGTAAAAACAAATAAACCTTCAGAGAAGGAGCTTTTGAAAGCCTCAAAGCCTATAGATTCTCAACCAGAAAGGGGCAAAGCTATGATGAATAAGGAATAAGGGAGAGAGGTTCTATGATGTGCACAAGGAATAAGGGAGAAAGGTTCAGGAGAGCAGAATGCCACTCGGCGATCATCCTCTACGCTCTGCATTGATTGCACTGATAAGCCATTGCACTCTCGTCTTGAGACCTTTTGAAGCCTCCTCGTACGCCTGCAGCTGTCGTGGGTGCTGTTTTTTTAAATTATTATTATTATTTAACCGAGTCGCATCACATAATGTATTATATATAATATAAAGTAACACATATTATTTATATTTGTTATTGAAAATATAGCATAGTCAATTATTCAGAAATCAGCAATCTCCAGATAAGATTCAGAAGAGGCACAGAAAAGGAAGACATCGACCCTTGTTCTTAGTTGGATGGATAGATTTTCAGTTCTTCCCCCTTTTTTTGAGCTTATCCCTTACTGTCCATAGTTTCCAAAGAATCTTAAGATAACCCGTTAGTGGACATCTTCTTCCCCCACCACAAAGCCTAAACTTTTCTGTGTGCCTCCACTTTCTTTTGAGGCCTGCACTTCACTGTAATTTCCCTTTTCACCAAATCATGAACTGCTGAATCAGTTTTGCAGAGTTCTTAAGAGAGTTGCTTTGCTGATCTCTCCACCACGAAACTGAACTGCTGGCGCTCCAAATTCTTTGGAACGTTCCACTTCATTCATCTCCGTAATGGATAGAAGAGTCATGAGAGAGCATTTTGCAAGAATGAACATTCCTGATAGCCCCATTTATGGAATGTTCGTACTCATCAATTCCACTCATGTTTGAAGCTTCAGTTGGTGATTTTTCAATTGGCTTACTTACACCTTCAGAGGTCCTCCTTGGAACCAGCCTCAGTTACTTCTTCATCCTAGAAATGGCACGCGCAAGGCACAAGTCGATGCTTTTTTCAAAGCAATACAAGGCTACAACTTTTAGAGAACGAGTTATTATTAATCTCACAATGCAATATGAGAATTGTTCAACACTTTCACAAGGTAAGTTAATATGTCGCAAGAAGCCATAGCTATGCATATGAGCAATAGCTATGCAGATGAGAAACATTACGTAGGTGAAAGGAAGCAAAGAGTTGGTAAAAAAACAGATTTGAACGCATTTACTGTGGAAGGAGGCCACAAGTACAAGGATTGATAGTCTAAAAAGTTCGTGTCAAAGATGTAAGAGACTAAGAGATATTATATATGGAGCATAAATTTAGGATACAAGTGTTGTGATCCAAAAGATGATGTACCTCAAAGGATATAGATTTTGATGATACATTTTCATAGTGGATTTCGGAGAAGAAAATCTTGAAAAATCAAATAACTTAAAGAAATTCAATCACATTAGACAGAAAAAAAACGGCACAAATTTAATCAATCATTCAATATCTTGAGAGCCAAGAGAGATTAGAAAGAGATCAAGAGAAATCTAGATTTTGTACTGTAGAGATACATGTCCAATTAATATAAACTTTGTGACTAACTTTTCTAAATTATATATATATTTTAATCCAAATCTCATTTGTATATTATTTATATTAATGCTTTAAATTTATCTTTTAGATTATAAATTGAAATTATACCCGAGATTCTTATCATTTTAAGAGAGTAATTGTGTCTATGAATATAATCATTATTAGGGCAAGTTAAAAAAAATTAAATATTCGTAGTATTTTTTAGATTTGTTATTTTTTAAAAAAATATTAAAAGTAATTCTGAACTTTTTTTTAAAATTATTTTTAAAGGTTTATGTTTTTCAAAATGATAAAAGTATTTTTTTAATTTTTTTTATACAGTTAAAAAAAATATTTTAAAAAATTCCTTTTAAAGTTGATTGAAAACTAAATATTTACCGACTTTATTTTTTTTTAAGCATTTAAATTTGGTTTGGAGAGTGACGATAACAAAACGAAATTGATTAGTTTTAGTAAACTTAATTTTGAAAATTAAGAAAACATTACAATTTAAGTTTGATTGTGAAACGATGAATTTACACAAACACCCAAAAAAACAAAAACAAAAACAAAAAACAAAAAAGAAGAAGAAATTTCACAGTTCATAAAATCCTTCTTCTTCTCCGCGGCTACTTTTCTGCATCCTAACGCTGCTAATGCTGTTTCTCGGCCCTATCACCTCATTCCACGCCGCCCTTTTCTTCGTCCACACCTCCGGCCTCTGTTTCGGCGCACTTCGCGACCTCAATTTCGCCTTAAACGACTGCGTACTCGCCATGTAATTCGGATAATTCGAATATCCACGAAAATACCCCTCCCCATACACGCTCCTCGTCGGCGTCGCTACCCCCGCCGCCGCCCCCCACCCGCTGTTCCCCACTCGTGGCGTGCTGTGTGCCGTCGGCGTCGACATCCGCCCACATTCCTCTCCACCCGCAAAAAACCACTCCCCTCCCGAGAATCTCGCCGGCGACGCCATTGTCCAGAGATACGGCGATGCCCGGTCGTCCGCCAACTCCGGGAGAAGGCTGTTGAATCGACGGGATCTTGATTTGGGTCTTCTGAAGAGTGTGTCGATTTCCACGATTTTTGGGTCTTCAATTTCGTTGGAGTAAAGGGATCTGACGTCGATGTCCGCCGACTTCTCCGGTTGGGATTTGTTCTCTTCGTTATTGGAACGACTACGAGCACGCTGTGATCGGACGGTGGTTTGTGCTCGGAACAGAGCTTCCATGCTCTGTAAAGTTGCAGCAGCTCGTTTTCGAACGAGAAATCCTCTAACTAAAGCTTGTAATTTCACCAATCCTCTTAACGCTCGAAGCGCCTTTCTTGCCTGCAATTCACATTTCATGTTTCAAATTAACTAATACGTTACAACGATTAGTAACGTACACTCCCAGTTTTAACGAAAAAGATTCCCTTACCAAAAATCCCCTGAAAACGTTTTGAATTTTAAGAGCCGCCATAATCTCATTCCCTCCATAGAACAGAGCACCTCCTCTGGTTTGATTCGTCAGCCTAACAACCGCCACAGCCGCCTGAGCAGCCGCCATAGCGGCATCAGCAGCAGCAGCCGACGCGGCGGCGACGGCAATCGCATGCTCATTCCGCTCTTCTTCTGTTTCTGTATTATAGGATCTCTGCCAATCGGCGTCCGCCACCGCTTTTCTCGGCGGCGGCGGTGGCAGATTCTGAACTTTTCCAGTGAATTCCTTCCCAGATTTGGAGAAACTCCAGCGATTCTTCTCTCTTTTATCACATGAATTCTGATCGGCGTTCTTTTCTCTCTTCATCCCCAATAACGTCCTCAACCACCTCGTTGCCTTCCCCATTCTGATTCTCGTTCTCTGAAACTCTGAGTACCAAACCAAAAACAGAGTCAGAAGTGACCCAAATGAATATCTCTACGCACAAGGCTAGAGAGAGAAACAGAGCCAATTGGGGATCCTACACAAACCTAGAGAAAGAAACAATAAGTAGTAAAAGTTTGAATCACATTCACAACACCCAAAATCCAATCTGGGTTTCAACAATTCCGGTTAGAAACAGAGGAAAAAAAAAACCCAAAAAAAACAGAGAGAAATGGATACGCATACACCCAGAAGAGAGACAAAAAGAAACAGAAAAGATGGATCCAAAACGTTGAAAAGAAGATCGAAGATGGGTCTGGTTTTGGGTTTGAAAAAGGGTATAATCTGACAGCTCCTCGTGAAGGACAAAGAGAAAAAGGCAGGGATTAACCAAAAAAAACTCCATTAGAAGTACAAAAAGACAAGATTTGCAAGGTTGAAGATGAAAAATTTGAATCAAAGGGAGCAGAAGAGAGAGAGAGATTAAAAAAACGAAAACTTACCAGTTTCTTGAGAGATCAAATGAGTTGAAGTTTGAAGAAGGGGGCAGAGAGACCCCACCATTCAAAAATAAGATGAAGAAGAAGAGGAAGGTTTCATGGAAGTTCTCTGAAATTCTCTCACTTTCAGGACTAATATGTACTGATTGAATACAAAGATGCAAACTGTCAATCCCGTGAATATTTCTTTTTTAAAAAGAAAAAATAGATAATATATATTATTTTAAGTTTTTTTTTTTTTTTTTTAAATCTCAATTGTATGATTTATATAAAAGGTTTCAAAACAAAATAATAACTCTCCATTATTACCGCAACAATAAAAAAAAAATCTTTTAAAACTCAGAAATTTAAAAAGAAATCAACTCCAAATATCAATTTATTTTCTTTAAAATTTATATTTAAGAAATTTGATGTTTTCGAAATTATTTATTAAGGTGAAAAATTGAATTAATATAATAAATGATTTTGTAAATGAAAATGAATGGGATAGAGAGAGGAAGAGAGTATAATTGTACTGTTTCTTCTTTTTTACTCCATTTCAGATTGTATTCTACTTTCTTTATTTTCACCTCAAAACCTGTTCTTATTTATTCAATTACTTAAAAAAAAATACACTTTTTAAATTTTGTGATATAACTGTAATCCGTTATGATATGTAATTATATGTAATTAGTTATGGAGTTGGTTGGTATTATATTTTATATCATTTTTAGCATTTTTAGGATTTAGTTATTAATATATTTTATCTTTCTTTTATTTTTAGTAGCCTGTATTTAAAAATTTGGATTTTGTTAGTATTATATTTTTATTTTATTTTTAAGAGTTAGTTGGCAGTTTATATCATATTTAAACATCCATCACATTCACTTATGGTTCTCATTCTTAACATATGGGATGTCGATGGTTTTTCATCTATATATTAATGGTAATAATTATTTTTATTTTTATTTTTTTTACCAAAATAAAGGATGTTTTTTTAAACGGGATATTTTTAAACTTTTTAAAAGGTTGAAAAAGAATTAATTGAACTTTTTAGAGTTTTATAATATTTTCAAAACCGTTTAAAGATATTATTGAATATTTTAAAGTTTATGAATAATTTTATTAATTTAACTTAATTTTTTTTTAATTAGATCAACTTTAACGGTAAACTTTCAAATTTCACATTTAAATTTCAAACATTAGTTTCCAATTTCATTTCGAATATGCTCTGCTCCAAAAGGAAAAAATGTGATTCTTGACCATGTATAATTTTTTTTTTTCTTAGAAGTTATTAAAATTATAAAAAAAAAAAAAAAAAAAAAAAACAAAGAACATGTGACATGGATGTGACATTTAATCCAAAGCGGTAGAGAATAAGGATGCAACCAACTAGTTTCCAAACCAAACCCTAATTTATTATCGGAACTCAATAATTTAAAAACCACTCACACGTTCATAATATTAATAATTTCTTAGCCATATCCTATGAAACCAAAGTCTTTGTTTTCTTTTCTCCACCTTTTAATTTTAGTATTGATTTTTCAAATCATTAGCTTTAATATCTATTTTAGTCCTTAATCCTTACAAAATAAAATAAAAACTTTAAAGTACGGTAATTATTAATTTTGAACAGTTTTGGCAGCTTACTGTGGACCACACCAAACTATTATTGCTGTCGTTCAAGGCGCAAAATTCTCAGACAACTATACTCCATAATTCTGTTTGGACCGTTGGATTAGGGGACCGAGTTGAGCGTACAGTACGCTTTTGCGCACTTGATCACGCCCATCATAATCATTAAACTAAGTCACCATAATCCGGATCAGATTCATCTATTTATATATATATATATAATATTCTTAAAAATAATTTTTTTAAATAAAAATTCAAATTTTAATAATATATATATATATATAATAAGTGAGTTTTTTTTTACAAAGTTAGGGGACAGAGTATACTTTTGGTAATTGACTCCATCTAGCTAACGAGGAGAAATCTATCTTAATTTTGGGAATTCTCAACTCTATTTAGAGTAAGTCCCCACAAAACCTAGCCATGAAAATATCTCTAAACATAATGTGTTTCTAAAAGTCCTGGTGCATCAATCAAAATTGTAGACATAGACATTAAATTTTATATAATTTTCATGAAACTACACATTATGTTTGGAACAAAATAATAATAATAATAATAATGTGAAAGTAACGTTAATATAGTTAGCGTAAAATAATGCGTTAATTTGACGTTATTATTGACATTGAATATGTTGATAAAATGGTTGGACATTTAGTGTACAATTATTTAAAATATGTAAACTTTTAGAGTTATGATGAAAATGCTAATAATTGAGTGATAGGAAGGTAGATTCATAGGGTTCCACCTGTATTTGCATTATTATGCTCCATCCTCCCTTACATTGAAAAAAATAATAATAATAATAATTACTGTTACTGTTATTATTACGGGTATATTTTGGGCTTATTAATAATGGCCCAAAAGCCCAAAATCAGCAAACTTACCGGGCTAACCCATAAAACCTATTCAGGATTTGGGCTTATCAGAGCTCCTTCCCTCTTCTCCAACTCTGCTTCTTTAGCGACAAGACGACGCCGTTTGGATACCCTTCGAAACGACGCCGTTTCTCCACTTGAAATTAAATACTATTTTTTTTTTATGCAAGACTCTTTACCTTTTTGGGGTTGAGAGGGATGTTTAAAACTAGGTCCAACCAATTTAGTGATCATTTAGAGACGATGGGTGCATGTAAGATAAGATTATCTCGAATATTCCATTAGGTTTTGAAAAAGGGTCGGCTAAATGAAAAGGAAGGATTAATCATTATATTCTCTCCACTGGCCTGAAAATACACAAACAACATCTAAATGCTTCATCCATTTTCACATTTTTTGAGTCAATATCATAATTGATTTCCATTTTGAATTTGTCCCACCCTCCACTTTGTGTTATCACCATTTTCAATCCTAATTAAATTTTAATCAATATCTTATCCATCTTTCCATTTTGGTTTTCTAGATGAAAGTTAAGTAGTTATGATGTGAAGGGTTGGAGGGTTGGAGGCATGTAAAAGACAGTATGCAATGTGAGATGTTGTGTAAGCCCTGACCACTTATTCAGATGGGAAAAGGACTAAAGAGTTCGTCAGTTTTGGGGCCCAAAGTTGGGCAGCTCTCCATGACAACGACACTCCTTTCTCCCCATTCCATATGCCCTTCCAACCCACCTCCCTAATGCCCTCCTTCATTTCATCTTTTCAACAAAAGCTCACTACCTTTTTTCTTTTTTTTTTCTTATATTCATTATAATTCGGAGCATACAGATTTCAGAAAGAGAGTTTGAACGCAACGTTACAGACTGATATGCAAGAAATACAACATAACGACTTGGATAACATATAACTCTAAGTAGGAAGAATTGACGATGAGTCGCATCACATTGTAATAGTACATTTTGGGTCATTTTATGTCTAGGCACACCATGGGCAACACAAACACCTTGTCCTCCTCTAAAATCTAATAGCAAATCTATGGGAAGATAATACACATTCAAAACCAAGGCCTTTCAATGTGTTGGATAACTTACATTAAAAACTCCAAATCACTCACTTGTTTTGGTGTTACAATGCAAAAGCAACTTAGACTAATTCAGGCTTTCTACAAAGAAAGAAGATGAGAGATTGATTGATTACATTGCAATTTCACAAGAAATTACAGAGATTAAACCATTACTCTATGGGTTTGGTGATTAAGCTAACCATTTTAGTTACTACTAATGATATCATAATTCAAATGTCTTCTCTCAAGCCTCAGCTTAAAAACCTCTCTTCCTTCACTTAGGGCGCAGAGTCGAGCGCCATCTTCTGTGGCTTCGAGCAACCGACTGTATTCAGACACGTCGACTTTATCATAATCTAAATTGATACATAAAATGATGAAAAAACAAGAATGTTAATTGTGTTTCAACTCACGACTCAAGGCGGGTAATTCCGAGCTTTTCAGCACACGCAACCTCTTCACCGTCGAAACAAACATTCTGCAACAAAAAATTACAAGAGTTATGGTCTTATCTATGCTCAATCCATGTTTGGGATATCACAACTCAGCATTCATGGGAGTGGATTGTGAGATCCCACATCGGTTGGAGAGGGGATCGAAGTATTCCTTATAAGGATGTAGAAACTTCTTCGTAGTATACGCGTTTTAACAACTTTGAGGGCAAGCCAAAAATCAACAATATGTACCAGGCAAGGAGGTGAAATATGCTTACTGCCAAGGGACATCGCCAACAAGAACTCGGTCTCCTTCATTATCCTCGTAAACAAGAGTATATTCTCCGCTTCCATCGAGCAAACCGGTGATCGGTTTCTCGTCATCTTGCTTCTTCCAAACGCCACCAGCTGGGGAATCTCTTTGAGCTGCAGAAAGGAACAAACAGGCAGCAAGCTTAGATTAAAATTGATATGAACAGAAGAACTTGAATAATTCTTGTGTAGATTACCTGCAAGCAAACCTCTGAAGAGTTCATCAACAGCAGAGGAAAGCTTTTCATAGCTATCATGAGCATTCAGATCAATTTTCCTACCAATGGGAACTCCATCCATATTGATCTTCACAAACAGACCCTTTCCACCAACTTCAACCGCCTTCTTACTGGGAGCCGGGAGCTTGCTCGGTGCTGCATCCAAGGACGACTCCGACACAGGCTTTGAGAAGCTGCCGCTGCTGCTTGTAAGGTTCCTTCTCGACGATCTAATTGGTGGCCATCCCACAACTGGAGCCGGTGCAGTCCTTTGAATTTTTCCCACAAAGATGAACAATAATGATGATATTGACAACAAAAAACGGCAAAGAAATAGCAAACATCTAAAAATTGCTCCATTTTGGAAACAGACAAAGTGCAATTTAGTGGGTTGTCTTGTTCATCAACTGGTCCATTCTAGATCAAATTAAACCAGAAACACAAGCCTCTACCATAAAACTCATGTCCTTTCACACATGCTTGAAATTTCAATAGCCATGAAAACAATACTAATATCGCTACCTTTTCTGAGAACTGTTGGAAACAGTTGTGTTTGCAGAGGAAGGAAATGATTTAGGTTCAGCATTATGTAGATCAACCATTTTCGTGCAACAGGGCTGTGACACTGATTCTTTTCCCATTGACGACAGGCAAAACGCTGGCAGTTTGGCCGCTTGAAACTTTCCATGAAAATTTGGAGACGGCGGCCATGGATTCTCAGAAGGAGAAAATTTATGAGAAACAGGAAAACACCCAAAATAAGGAACGGCTTCATCCTTTCCTTTGCCGGACCAATCGCCTTCTCCGGGCAGGCCAAGCCTCAGTTCAAGCTTCTTATCATCGGAGGTGTGGGGTTTTCCGGCAACATCTCCCGCAGCAACCCATTGCCGGTGTTTGGGGATCAAATCCAGCAGTTGGGGGCAAACCCCGTCTTTCTCAGAACACCCATTTATCTCCATTGAAAGATTAGGGAGGTTTAGACGAAACCCAGATGGGATAAACACTAAAAAAATGATTTGGTTTCCTTTCTGAGTAAAATTTCTCGAGAAATTAGGCAAGAAAACTGGGTTCTCAAAATCCCGAGCAAGAGATGAATAGAAAAACACAACCCAAATCGCAAAAGTTCGCCAAGATTTGAAAGCAAACCAGAGAAAAAAGGAGTATAAGCAACAATTTGGGATAAATTGTAAGAAAGGGGTGTGTCTCAATCAGTTTTGGGCGTAGAAATTTGTTAAAAAGGTTAGGGCCAAAAGAGGAAGGCCGATAATTAGGAGTGGGAAGAAGAGATTCTGGTTGGATGGCAAAAGAGCCCAAAACAGGGAACTGTATTTAGAGCATTGTTCACGCAACCAACCAAACAAATAAGCAACAAATTGGTGAACCAAACCCAACTTTTACATTAATATTCCATGTTATTTAAATTACTAAATGGATAGCTAAATTATTATTATGAATTAAGAGGGACCGGTTCATAAAGTCTTAAAAGGATAGATATCAAATGCTTTGATAATTTGAACCACGGGTAAAGTTAGCTTAGAATAATTGTTAGCATTCTTTTGATCATTATCATGCGCGTGTGATGTTATTTTATATTTTGTTTATTTTATTAAGATTGTTTACGTAGCAATTACGTTGTTATGATATATACCTTGTAATAACATTTGTTTAGAGGAGATGGGAATACAATACTTTATAGGTAGGGTTTAATGGAATCATGTCAATCGTTAATTAATTGCAATAAATATTTAAACAAGTGGGGTTCTTGAATATAATACTGCTTCTTGATAGTAGGCCTATTTTGTGCTTAATTTTAAACTTTTTTAGGTGTATTCTTTTTCGTACCTATAGTTTTGCTTTGAAAAAGTTGTAATTTATTAATTATAAATTAATATCATTTATACATTCATTATCTTGTGTATTTATGAAATAAATAATAAATTTAAAATTTAAAATGTCTGTATTTTTTGTATTATTTTTTCTAACCAAAAAAAATTAATCACAAATTTAGTTTTTGAATTTAATAAAACAAGACAAACCCTACCTGTTTTATTCTAACTCATAAAATCTAGATTTTAATGTGTTCTTCATTGCCAAATTTATAATAAAAAACATTTGGGAACTAAAAAAAATTAAAACTTTATTAAATAACACAATTTAATAATATATAGTTTATTCGCTTCTGAATTTATGTCCATTTGTAAAATTTAAAAGTATGTGATAATTCTATAAATTTAAATTTTATATATACTAATTTAAAAATGAAGAAAATAGATTCTTAAATTTTTTAAAAATTGATTTCAATTTCCTACTATAAGACTTGTTTATTTTAAAAAATATAATAATTCAATAATCTATAGGATATAGAAAAAATGAAACTCATTAGATATATATTTGATAACTTAAGTACTTATAAAAAAAATAGATTAATAAAAGTTAGATTTATAAAAATAAAGTTAAAAAAAAAAACAGATATTTGAGATTTGATTTTATGTTTTTTTTGGTGAGGGTGAAGGAATATTCTTAAATGTGTTAATTATAAAAGTGTCAGGTTGATTAAGCAGAAATCGGACGGTTGGATTAGTTTCAAACTGACAAGTCGACAGCCTTAATATCCAATCATCCTGTCTGCCCTGGGATTTTGAGGCCGTGATTCTGTACGCTACTCATACCTTATGACACCAATCCCGACCGTCCGATCAATCTTCATCGCAAGGATCGGCGATCACAGAAATTTTATTTATTTTTTCAAAAAAGACATACTTTATGCACAAAGCTCGAGATGGAAATTCTGATGCGTAACAGCTAAAAAGTAGTTTTTCTTTTTGTTCGTGAAATCTGAAACCTCCTCTGCCCGTAGCAGTAAATAATATCCTTTTTTTTCCCTATAAAACTTACTTTTTGGTTGCCTCATGACGGTTTTACCCTTGTCTCCAATTTTTTTAAATTTTATTTTGATTCGTTTCTTTTTAAGTTAAAACGATTTAGAGTTAATGAATTATAAACTCTCTCGGTATTTAAATTAGGACCCGTTATTGACACTAACATCTATTGTATTTTTAATAACAAGATGTGTTTTTACGTGTTTTGTTGGTACCCACATTTGGTTGTATTATTTTTTTCGAAAGGTGACAGAAAATAATATATTTATGCTGCCAAACTGAAGAGATTAAATAGACGTGAACCAAACTTATAATTAAAAAGAGAAAATACAAAATTTGTTGTGCACAAACTACAAACAAGGGGAGAGAGAGAGAGGTATTAATTGATAACGGTCATCCAATAAAAAGAGAGATAAAAAAAATTAAAAAAGAAAAAAGAAAAAAGAAAAAAGGGGAAAGAGAAGGGACGCCCCATGGTCGGCTGCTGACTCATTTTGGTGTGTCCAAAGCAAAATTGGCAGACGAAAACTGTAGCCTTTGTGTTTTTAAATTTTAAGGTTTTAACAAAGAATATATATATATATATTACACGTGTCCAATAAGGTGGGCCCCACTGCACATATGCGCCCGTGATTTTTCCCTCCGACCATCCAACATTTCTATATTATTCCAATAATTCCCTCACATTTTATTTCTTCCTTTATTTTCCTTCTTTTTTTTTTTAGAGGTAAATTAATGAAATTTAAAAAAAAAAATATATATATATATATATATATATTATTTAACTAATTTAAATATTAGAAGAAAAAAAAGGTGGGGAGGAAGAGAGAGAGAGAGGAATGGACGGTGATGAAGAAGGAAGGCGTGGGGAGAAGGTCAAATCGGATGATTGGTGGTGGGGAAGAGGGGGTAATGATTCAGTGTGTCGTTTGTAGAATAGAGGAGAAGTTAATGCAACTGAGACAAGGGGCGCACTCAAAGCATGCCCCATCAAATCAAATCAAATCGAATCGAATCGAATCATCCACCTGTCTTAATCCCCACCCTTTGATTCCCAATCATATTTTTCTTCATTTCTCATTATTAATCTCCTTTTCTTCTTCTTTTTTTCTTCACATAATTCATCAATTCTAACAAATTATTATTAATAAAACTCAATCTTCATCTTCTACTCTTCTTTTATTTATCTCATTTTAGTACTAATTTAGTACAAAATAATTTTATTACCTTTATTATAAATATAATTAATTAAAAATGGCTATCAACTTACTAACAAAAAAAAAAAAATATATATATATATATATATTGAAATAATTAAAAAATAATACGAAAACAATTAAGTCTTCATATTTTCAAAACATTCAATTTCGTTTCTATACTTACGACTTTGGTTAAAGTCGATATTTTTATTGTCAAAATGTCCGTTTTGTCCCTATCCTTTTAAGAATTTATCATATGAATCTCTTTGTAAAATTTTAACAATCTTTTTTTAAAAAAATTAAGCTAAAAATAAAAATTAAGTAACGAAAATATTCACTATCGTAAAAACATGAACTAAAATAAACACTTTAAAACTAAAATGCCCAAATTAAACTAAAGTAAAAAATAATAAAATCAAAATAATACTTAAACCTTTTCTAAATAATATCTAATTTAATCCTATGAGGAACAAGCTTTACTAATTCATACATTACTTTAGGTAAGAAAATAATACTTTTATATATATATATATATATATGAAAGAATCTCAATCAATATCCTTTTACCTTAAATCTCATTTTATATATTGATTTTAAATTTAAATTTGGCAGATTCAATAATGGATTGATAAATATTGAATTAGGTCGATTCAATCAGGTCAATCAATTTGATTAAACTTATATACAAAATTTGTATATATTTATAGAAATTTTAAAATTTTCTTAATTTAGAATAATGGTTTAAGTTAAATTGTGATTTAATGTTAAAATGATTGAGACACTTCAAACTCAACCATCACAATTTAGAATTGTCTATGTTTCTTTTGAGAATAAGATATTTGAAAGGTACAATTATTTTCGATAATGGTATGATATTATCCCGTGTAAACATAAATTCTTATAATTTTGTTCCAGAAAGTTACAAATTATTCAAGATTATATTCTCGTTCGTAATATTTATAATTTTTCGTAAATAAAGGCAAAGATATTACGATAGCCACCAATGAATGTCTCTCTATTCAATCATAGTGCCTTTTTATGTTATTATGTTTATAATATGTTTTTGTTCCACGATGCAATGCTTTCTCATAAGAGTTGACCTTTTATTTTCCTTTTTTATTAAAAAAAAAAAAGAAAATTGATTCAAATGGGTGGCTAGCTGTGTTTCTAATCATTTATTATTTATTGTAAATTAGGTAATTTTCTTTAAGCAACAATTCCCAACCATTAAGTCTTACATATGTCTACTTGCTTCCAATGTAATCATGACTTTACTTTACTTTACCCTACAAATTATTCATATATTTCCTCGAAATAAACTTAATTAATATCTAAAAAATTTATTTTATAAGCATTTCATTCATTTGCTACGTTCCATAAATAGTAAATCGATGGTTCTAAATAGTCAACTTGATTATTTAAACGGAGATCGTTAATGGCTTTCGCATCATCCATCTTGCTTATTGTTTGTCCTTCATCCTTCTTTATGAAAAGGACAAATTAAAGCCCTTATGCTCGGAATTGGAAGTGAAAAGGAGCATTATTTGTAGGGTATATATGGTCTATAAATATCCTATCTACCTTATATTTAATACAATGTTTCTTCTCCCTTATTACATATATGCAACATAATTCAACTGATTAAGACGTATATTTTTAAAATAAAATATTATAAAACAGTTTTAAATATATTAGAAGTATATTAAAGAAGTATAATTACGATCTTAGTCTAAATAAAGTTTTATAAGATATAATAAATTATATTTGAAATTGCATATTGTCGATGATGTGGATCGCGGGCAGCCCCAATCTCAACTACCCACTTTTTTTTTTTTTTTTTTTTTTTTTT